ATCTTATCTTATCTTATCTTATCTTATCTTATCTTATCTTATCTTATCTTATCTTATCTTATCTTATCTTATCTTATCCCTAAACCTGATGGAAACAACAAGTGTGGATAAGTTTTTGACATGAAATTTCTAAACTTTTTTTTATTTTATTTTATTTTATTTATTTATTTTTGTTAAACACAACATAAGATGGTGGCACTCATTGTTAAATTTGAATAATTTTGAATAATTTCAGATAGTGGACTTTCTTTTGCCTCATGACTAAAGTTTGTTTCTTTCACACATGAGTTTTTTTAACTGAAAAACTTTGAGATATTTTTAATGTCTTCATGTAAAGCTACTGAAAAAAATAAATCTTATTTTGTGATTTGTTCTGTTTACTCATTTCCCTGCAGTAAATAACAGTTACCTTTATTACATTTTGTACATTGCTCTACAAGCTGAGGGGGAAAAAAAGGGACCAAAAACGAAGGTGGCTGGTAGCCCTGCTGCCTCTGTCATCACCACATATGTTCCTGCACTGCGGGGTGTTACTGGTCAGACTGGAAGCCAGCGGGGGACCCAGTCACTGTCCACCAGAGCAGCTCTGCAGTGGTCGGGGATTCCTGCGTGGGTGCTCATATGGGTGCAGCACGAACTACTTTTTTTTCCTAACTATTAAAAACAAAAAGCAACTCTTCTAAATGCCACAAGTAGGGTTGGGCATGATCGTATCATGTGCAATTAATCGCCAGAAAAACATTAATCGATTATTTTTTGGCATTTGACGATTAATACGATTAATGCCAGCAGGCAGGCTGACTGGAGATTTCTCCTATCAGTCTGCTCGATGCTCCGCTCCGCTTCAAATACTGTATGACGAACATTAAAAAAAGTTCTGCAATGTAATTTTGACACAATTTGGAACAGATTTTTACAAAAAACAAATCTTTCCCACTAAATTTGTCAATTGACTAGGACATATGTAAGGGTGTCCAGGGGATTAATCGTCAGATTAATCGTTAGTGGCTAAATACCGCAATTAATCGTGATTAATTTTTTTACTAATATCGCCCAACCCTAGCCACAAGTGGACATTTTTAACAGGAGGATTCTTAACATGTCTTTTAACCTGACACAGTCTTATAATTACATGGAATAAGCTCCCTGTGGCTAACTCCATTTGAGTCACGATTCTGCACAGTAATGTACTCCCACATGCAAGGATGCTTCATAAATCTGCAAGAATTAAGTTTTGAGCACTTTAAATGAACTTTGAGAGAAGTTTAAATTGTTAATAACTTTTTCCAACGTGGTTCAGTTAGATATTCTCAGTTTTTTTAAAGGCATATATATTAAAAATTGTTGAGCTTTCTGAGAGGTTGGCTTCAAAATTTTAATATAACTGTCTAATAAGGATTAATCAAACAGCATCACTTAAATATGAAGAAAGAAAAAAAGCTTTTTTGGACGTCAGAGGTCTGTAAATATCCAGAAATAGACTTTTGCATGAAAAATGAGAAATATAGATAACTTTTACACAGCTAATATAGGAAATGTTTCTTCTGCTAAACAGTCTTTTATTTTGTTAAACAATCTGGGCAGAAATCAGCTCTAATCAGGCTGAACGCCAACATTAAAAGTCTGATATGAGTAAAAATCATTGTAATTCAAAACTTAATCAATTGCAGGAGAGTTTGACATTTGGGTTGCATCATTTTGATCTTTTTGATTAGAGAAAATCTAATTTGTGCACCTAAATCTCGTGCTTGAGGAGCTGAATATTGTTTAATCATTTTGTCCTAAATAGATCTTCAAGTAAATTATTAGCCGCCAATTTATCAACACTTGTTCATGAGTATACGTACTGAAAATGTAGATTATTTTTGTCTTATTTTCGCATTATTATCTTAATTTTTACAGTATTTGCCTTCACCACACATCATTTGCAATCACAGCTATCGTTCATGCAGGATAAACATTTTAATGTTTGCTTTTTGTTTAAGTTTATTGTGGAGATGTTTTGCCTGTCTGAATTAGAGGTTTGAGTGAAAACAATTGGAGAGACTTATTAAGTGATACAATAATAGGCACTGAAAATAAGATCAGTCCTTAGAGGAGAACAAATTATAAACAATTTGAGTTTTAATAAAGATGTCTCTGACTGTGAAAGGTTGATCATTTGGAAGTTTAAGGTCACGTGAAAAAAACAAAAGTTTCCCAAAGTCGTGATGCCTCTTGTCTACAAACAGGAGGTCACAATAATGTGTGACATCACTGCTGGAGGACCAATAGGAAGGCTCATAAGAAACCAAAATGTGAAAGGGATGACGTTGTTGCTGGCGTAGGACTGCAGTTTGAAGTCTCCTACTAAACACAGGCAGAGGGAATGGACGCTCAGACTGACCTCCACACGCTCTTACTGTAGCAGGGCTTTGGGATCAGAAGAGTCCTGGATCTGCAGGCTTCCTTGCAGCCACCTTCTGTAGCAGTGTTCTTCTGCAAAGAATAAGTGGTAAGGAAGAAAAGCATCCAAGTTAAAGCTAAGATGGAATAAGTTTGCATGACTTTGCTTTTTTGTATTTTCTTTTTGGTGACTAAGCACCTGTTTAACTTGTGTTGGTCCCAGAGGACCCAGCATGCTGTCGTCCCTGAAGACCCTGCTGCTGCTCTCGGTCCTGTGCACACGGACCTCCAGCCTGTGCCTGCGCCTCTACCAGAGCCGCTCCGACCTGCTCTGCAGCGACCACCTGGCAGCCGGGGCTCCGAGTGACGAGAACGAACCGGGCTACTCCCGGGAAGACAGCTGGGGGTCCCTCCTGCAGTCCGCGGAGTACCTCAGCCCCTCTTTCCCCTCCACGTCCGCCGAATCCAGCCGCGAGAAAAGGACTTCAAGCCCCGCAAACTACCGCTTCATGAGCCGGACCAAGCTCAGGGGCCAGATGCTCCGCAACAGCGTCCAAGGGGACCGGAGGAGCAGACTCACCCTGTCCCTGGACGTCCCCACCAACATCATGAACGTCCTGTTTGACGTGGCCAAAGCCAAAAACCTGCGCGCCAAGGCGGCGGAGAACGCGCGTCTCTTGGCGCAGATCGGCCGCAGGAAATGAGCCAAAACAACACGGACCAAAAGTTTCATTAAACACACGAGCGTCCTTCAAAATGTCACCATCACTCTTTATTCCTCAACTATACATCATTTGTTTCTCTGAGGGGAGGAACATGTCGTTTAAAGGTGAAAACATTTTTGCTCTCGTGTTTGAGTTAACAGCTTTTATTCCCTGAAGACTGATTCGATTTGCTTTTTATTTAACAAACTAACTCTGAAAATGCTTTACATTTGGCTTTTAATGTCATTTTATCTAAAAGTGATGATTTTATTTTGCAACATGACCCAACTAAAAAAAACAACAACATAATTTCAATGGAGGAAATTAAATTCGCCTAATTTTATCTTTACTTTCTTTACTTCATTTGGGCTATTTTAAAGAAGGATTTTATTTTGATTAACACATGTTAACTAAATGTTGGATGTAAAATTGGCATTATAATGAAGAGAATTGTCATCTAATTATAATTATGAATGTTTTCTTTTAATCAGCTGATAATAACTGAAATGATTTTCATAATTCTTATATTGTGTTTCATGTGTTTTAATTATGAAATATATTTTCCCCAGTTGCAAATGATTTGACATTAAAATTCTGTACAAATCACCTTTAAAAACCCATGAATTATAGTAAAATGCAAATGCACGTGAATGTATGTGTTCATCAGATGTCTCTTATTTTTATACTGCAAATAAAGGATTATTTTTCCTGAATTAAAGCAGAAGTACCAAGTACATGTTCCTGTTTTCAGACATTTTGCATAATGACATCCATGAAACAATCTTAGATTCACTATATATATTATAAAAACTTGGTGTGCTTTGCTAGAAATAAACTATATATAAGAAATTTGCATGAAAGTTTGAAGCGCAAGCTGCAGTTTTATAATAGTGTCATTATATAATTTGACCACCAGGGGGCAATAAACAGCAGGTTTTCACTTAGGTTCTCCCATCTATTTTCAAGAGGATTAAAGTAGACTGTAGACAACCCGTTTCATTTTCATTACCGGCTCCCAAATCATGTTACTTTGCCAAAATTATATAAAGAAATATTTGACGTTTCGCCATCAAACAAAACCTAAAATGATCCAGCTAGTTTGTAGTTTTAGGAAACAATCAGTATGTCAGAATCCAGGACACAGAACAATGTCTCCCCCTTGTGGCCATTTTTGATAACTGCACTCCAGATTATCATCAGCGCAGCCGCTCATTCTAAAGGAGACGCGGTATTTTTGTTTATGTAATTATTTATTTAGTGAATTATATCGGTAGCAGCTGACACAAGTTTCCTAATTTTTTTTCAACATCAAAAATACTTGCTAAAATGTGACAGCTACAGAAAATATCTACACTTTGAAAATGTATGTTGGTCTGACTGGAACCATTTAGTAAACATGATGTGAATCAACACTAAATAATGCAGAATTTGCACATCATCGTTAATCCGTCTTATTTATTTATTTATTTATTTATTTATTTATTTATTTATTTATTTATTTATTTATTTATTTATTTATTTACTCGAGTTTAGAAGGTCAGTGTGTGCGAGCAGCGCCCTCTGCTGCTCCGGAATTATCAACGCCAGTGACGTCTCTTCCGTCGACGTGGATCCTGACAGGAAACCAAGTTTCATTTTGGCTACGTGGAAGTAGCTCTGCTTATGGTCGAGGTTGACGGGGTCTCTTTCGTTCATACACAATGATTAAAAAATTTGACAAGAAGGACGAGGAGTCTGGTAAGAGCAGCTATAAACTGGACAATGTTTTAATTAAAGTCTGGACTAAACTGGGTTGGTGTAAATTGCGCTGAAGGAAAACGCTAACTATGCTAACATTAGCTAACTAGCTAAAGCTATTCAGCTGACCATCAAATTAAACCTGCCCGGTAAATGTGGATTTCAGGTTAATCCGTTTAAAGTTTTCTTATTTTGCATTGACTTTTTGCAACCATTTTTCAACTTGTATTGAATACTGCTATTGTTTTTATTGACAGTTTAAAATTATATAAAATCTTAAGTAAAGATGATTACACTCTGTCGCAGCTGTGCACTGAATGTCAACGTTGGCTCTATGAAAAACAAAGGATTGTCACTTAATCTGATGTCCTTCAAGCTTTCTTTTAAAGACAATTGTCTTGTTTAAATGATCTAACTCGTTTGTTTTGACACGTAGGAAGTGGGTCAAACCCTTTCCAGCACCTGGAGAAAAGTGCTGTATTGCAAGAGGTAATGTATTCTTATAACTTAAGACACAAAGGACATTGAGCAAAAATAAAGGCCGATTACTTAAAGGTATCCTCTCTGGTTCACAGGCACGTATCTTCAATGAAACTCCAATCAATCCAAGAAGATGTCTCCACATCCTCACCAAGATCATCTACCTCCTCAACCAGGTCAAACTTATATTAAACTCAGCCTCTAAACAATGTTTTCCCCTGTAATATATAACACATTATTTAACATAATGTACTCTGACTTCTTTTGTAGGGGGAACATTTTGGGACCACAGAGGCCACCGAGGCTTTCTTTGCCATGACAAGGCTCTTCCAATCTAATGATGTAAGACATTAACCTTTGATTTATTAAATTTAATCATAAGATACGGTTACATTTCACTCTTTTTGCTTGACTAATCTTCAATATAAGTAAGCCTTTTTTATTATGTGTTGTAGCAAACCCTGAGGAGGATGTGCTACCTAACTATCAAAGAGATGGCAAACATCTCTGAGGATGTCATCATTGTCACGAGCAGGTTGGTGTCATGGTGTAAATGGTAATTACTGTTTTCAGTGTGAAGTCACTAATTGTTTTGGTGTCGTGTTTGCTAGCTTGACTAAAGACATGACTGGGAAGGAAGATGTTTACAGAGGACCAGCCATCAGAGCCCTTTGTAGGATCACAGATGTGAGTGGTGATCTCTTTAGGTTTTTCAAAATGTCTCCTCTCTTCTGTTGCTCTGTTCCCACGCAGGAAGGGATTTATTTTTTTCTGTTTCCCTTGTTAAAGGCTTCTGTTTGGAAACTAAAAGTATTATTTTTCTCCCCTCTCAGACCACCATGCTGCAGGCCATTGAGAGGTATATGAAGCAGGCTATAGTTGACAAAGTGCCCAGTGTGTCCAGTTCAGCTCTGGTCTCTTCTCTGGTATGGAACAGGAACTTTTTGTTATTCCAGTGAAAAATGTTATTTCTTTTGTTTTGTTAATAAAACAGCTGAATTTTATCTTTGCTTCCTTTTAGCACATGGTGAAGATGAGCTACGATGTGGTGAAACGCTGGGTGAATGAGGCCCAAGAGGCTGCTTCCAGTGACAACATCATGGTCCAGGTGGGGGAAAAACACGAGGATTTGAGGAAATTCGTTATTTGGAATTGCTTCTGATCATTCTTGATTCTAAAGTTTTACATGTCCTGTCTTCCAGTACCATGCCCTCGGCCTGTTGTATCATCTAAGGAAGAACGATCGCCTTGCTGTGACCAAGATGCTCAACAAGTTCACCAAGTCTGGTCTCAAGTCTCCCTTTGCTTACTGCATGCTGATCCGCATTGCCAGCAAGCTGCTGGATGAGACAGAGGGAGGGTGAGTAGATCTGCACCCTCTGAGATGAATTGATTATTTCCCTGTAATTGACTAAAGTGCTGACAAAAAATTCATGTTGTTCGCCCACAGTCACGACAGCCCCCTGTTTGACTTCATTGAGAGCTGCTTGAGGAACAAGAATGAGATGGTGGTGTATGAGGCTGCCTCTGCTATCGTCCACATGCCCAACTGTACTGCCAGGGAGCTGGCCCCTGCTGTGTCAGGTTAGCATGTCACATGTCGCACCACAAACTGGCTTCATGCTTGCAGCGTGCATGGTGTGTGCCATGCTAACGGGCTAAGCTGCATTCTCCTCTGTTTGACAGTAAATGATCATAGGAGCAGTTCAGTTGCTGATCAACATCATAGACCTGTTAGCATAAGCATGACTTAGCAGCTGCACATCACCAGTCCCAACAGTGTTTGCGAAAACTTTTGAGTCACGTGACAGCGTCTCACGCAGGACATTTTTGAAGCACATAGGACAATGTAATCCGTGCTTCAAATGTACAGATGTGGTAGTGACATTTACATTATTTTCACTGTACTTTCAGGTGTTTTATCGATATAATAAAGCTTGAAATCTGAACTCAAAACACTTTTATTAACAATAAATATCAGATTACAGTTCAGAGTTATTGAAATTACTGTAAAGTTTTCCTCTTTTGTCTTAGTTGGTCTCAAAGTCCTGTTCATCAAAGCTGTCATGATCTGCATCATCTTCTGAATCACTACAATCTGGCACATCCCTGTCCTCTTGGGCTTGGTGGCATTTGAGGTCCCATTTTGTAGGCCCCTTAAGCATGTTTAGGAAAAAAAGAGGAGACAGTATTGCTGTGATTGGCTGGAGTAGTTGTAAAAATAATAATAAATGATGTTTAATTTTCTACCATAGGTTCTACTCATGCTGCTCGAAAAAAGTCTAATAAACCAACAGTATTGATCAGAAATAATCAGAAAAAAATTAGGAGTCATCATGTACTTTTAAGAAATTATGCTGAAACAACAGAAAACACAAGAAAACATCTGCAAATTTATAAAAATGTGAAGAAATTAACTTACCTCGCTGTAACCAGATAACATCCTTAGGGCTTCCGGTGCCTAAACCAATCAAAATCCTGGATAGAACGCACTGCGGAAACCAGCCAATCACTGACTATGTTTGCCTGGACATTTGTTCAGTGGGACACACAGATAATCCGCAGGGATTTTCAATGTAAATAATAATTTGCTAGGTTTGAGAAGCACGTCGGTCAACATGTCCGATGATTTGAAGTTTTTTGCCGGACAATTGTAATTTACTTCAGTAATGTCCGACTTGTTTTCGCAAACACTGGTCCCAATAACCTGTCAACTTTAAAATTCAGTAATGTTTGTCTGTTTTAAAATAAGGTGGTGTTTTCAAGATGTCTCTAACTGTAAATGTGTCCTTGCAGTGCTGCAGCTCTTCTGCAGCTCCCCTAAAGCAGCTCTGAGGTATGCTGCTGTCAGGACTCTGAACAAGGTAACGGATTGTTTTCTATCACTGCACCATGTGGTCTGTTTTACTGCAGCTTAACTGAAAATAACCTGAAAATAAAGAAAAGGCCAGTTCTCATGGTTTTCTATGTAATTTTATGTACAAATGTAAATTAAAAATATGTGACACTATTATTACAAACCAGACTGATGTGTTTGAGTTAATAGTTTAACCTGTTATCCTTTTGTTTTGTGCATCAGGTGGCCATGAAACACCCATCTGCTGTGACTGCCTGCAACTTGGACCTGGAGAACCTGATCACTGATTCAAACCGCAGCATTGCCACTCTGGCCATCACCACTCTGCTGAAGACTGGCAGCGAGAGCAGCGTGGACCGCCTCATGAAGCAGATCTCCTCCTTTGTTTCTGAGATTTCAGATGAATTCAAGGTGAGACATCTTTTACGTCATTTGGTTTCATTATAAAATTATAATGCACACCTTTTTATTAATTTTTTTAAAATCTACTGTGTAAATCTGTTTGTTTCAGGTGGTGGTGGTGCAGGCCATCAGTGCTCTGTGTCAGAAGTATCCCAGGAAGCACAGTGTCATGATGAACTTCTTATCCAACATGCTCAGAGATGATGTGAGAAAATAAAAATGCTATTAATCACGTTTCAACCTAAAGAGGTAAAAGGTTTGTGAACAATCATTAGTTTTTGTATCAATGCAGGGTGGATTTGAGTACAAGCGAGCCATTGTGGACTGCATCATCAGCATCATCGAGGAGAACCCTGAGAGCAAGGAGACGGGCCTGGCCCATCTCTGTGAGTTCATAGAGGACTGTGAACACACGGTGTTGGCCACAAAAATCCTGCACCTGCTTGGCAAAGAGGGTCCTCGCACCCCGCAGCCCTCCAAATACATCCGCTTCATATTCAACCGCGTGGTTCTGGAGAGCGAGGCCGTCCGTGCAGGTGTGTATGCTGATCTGAGAACATGCTTTACGCTACAGTTTAGATGGTTTAATTCCAAACGGCTGCAATATTTTCCGCTTCTTTTGGTCTCCAGCTGCTGTCAGCGCTTTGGCTAAATTCGGAGCTCAGAATGATGATCTGCTGCCGAGCGTCCTGGTTCTCATGCAGAGGTATTTATTTAGTCCTGAGGGAGTCTTTTTTTTGAAGCAATGGAAGCATTCAGTTTTTATTTATCCAGCTGAAAAATCTGTTTTAAAGAACTTGAACTCTTTGGTTGCATTTTTATTTTTAGTCAGATTAATTTCTAACAAAGACGAAACGTGCAACAGAGATAATAAAACTTACATGGATTACCTTTAACCCGCTCGGTTTTCACAGGTGTATGATGGACAGTGATGATGAGGTGCGTGACAGAGCTACTTTTTACATGAATGTACTCCAGCAGAAGCAGAAAGCTCTGAACGCAGCGTACATCTTCAATGGTAAAGCTGCACATTGATAAACTCGGAGTACAGGACTTGATGTGTCGTCTGATGGTAACGTGTGTCCCTCTGTGTGTCTCAGGACTGTCTGTGTCCGTTCCGGGGCTGGAGAAGTGCCTCCATCAGTACACCTTGGAGCCCTCAGAGAAACCGTTTGACATGAAGTCTGTACCTTTGGCCACCACTCCAATCACAGAGCAGAAAACAGGTACAGCCACTTTAATGTGATGTACTCAATACATTTATATGTATGTTTATATGTGGTATTTGGACAACTTTAATCCCAATGTTTCCCCTGCAAATAACTACATGCATTTTATTCCTTAGACCTCCCTAACATGTAATATTTAAGAATTTTTTTTTCATTTTATGTTGATTGTGTTAGTGAAAATGTAGGTTTTGTACTCGGCAACAATTGTTGCCGGTGGGAAACAATGTAGTCTAAACTGACACAAATCCTTTATTCTGACCTATGAAAAATACATGCATGAAAAATATAAATAGCCTTAACATGCATAACATGTTATAACAAGGCATGGGTACAAGTTCAACAGTAGGAATGACTGATGTAGCACAGTGTTTTTCAAAGTGGGGGCGGGTCACCAGGGAGCATTATGGTGTCCTCAGAAAGCTGGAGGGGATAAGAGGGGAAAAAAAAGGCAAAAACCTAAAACTTAAATCTAATTACTATTTTAAATTATTATCATAAAATGGAATCTGTTTTTCAATCAGTTTGAAAATATAATTTATAAAAATATATTGAAATACTGTTTAAGAGAGCAGTTTGATTCCATTTGTTCTGTTCTTATTGTCAACAGCTGGGTTATTCAGTGGGATAATAATAGTGTTTAACACATTTTGCTTAATACAATTTTAACGCTAAACAAATATAATACTTATAAAAAGTGATTTAAAAAACTTTTAAACATTTTACATATTTTGTAGCATTGTTTGTAGGAGGTTTGCAAAGGGGGTCCCTGGCCAAACGCTTCTGCTGTTTGAAGGGCTATGGCATAGAAAAGTTTGGCACCCCCTGTTGTAGCACACATCAGTTTGGGGTTCTTTCAGGTCTAAAAGATCTAAAACATCTGATGGCTTTAAGTTGAATGGAAAAAAAACCCCATAAATAAGTAAAATAAACAGTCAAACCTTTGACAGCACAGCTCTGTCAATATGTTATGCTAGCAGCAACAATTGTTGCCGTGCTTACATTCACTCTTCTTACGATCAAAAGATGCATGCAAGCATAAAATTCTCTATATATCTCAGCAGAAGACTCTTCAAAGAATATATGTACAAAATATTTCAATTATATGTTTATTAAGATATTTTATTCACTTCATTTTGTACCAGTTTGAGGTAGACATTTCCCTCGAGCAGGGCAGGCAGGAAGTCGAGGGGTGTGGTCATGTGACCATTCACACTAACTACATGAAGTTGATATAACAAAGAGTAGATAGCCCATTAAATTAGCTGCCCAAAGCCAAAATAACACATTTAGAGCTTCCAGAAGTAACACAAAATGTCTGGCAACAATTGTTGCTGGTGGGATTAAACTGGTTAATTGAATTATTATTTTCTTGTAGAAATAGCCCCAGTTGCTACCAGCAAACTGCCAGAGAAGCTGGCCCCCTCACGTCAAGACATTTACCAGGGTAAGACTAAACTCCCACATGGTGAATCTGGATATTTGGTACAATTACACACATTTACTTTAAAAGTATCATCCCTGTGTTTCCCGTTTTTGTTCAGAGCAACTTGCTGCCGTCCCAGAGTTCCAGGGTCTCGGCCCATTATTCAAGTCTTCTGAGCCGGTTCAGCTGACCGAGGCAGAGACAGAATATGTTGTCCGCTGCATTAAACACACCTTCGCCCAACACATGGTGTTCCAGTTTGACTGCACGAACACGCTGAACGACCAGTTGCTACAAAAGGTTTGTTGAATGATATATTTTTAGTTTTGTCCACCTTAAAATGTAAATGATATATTTATGTATTTCTGCTGCTTTTGGATTATATCTTGTAGGTGATAGTACAGATGGAGCCTGCAGAAGCTTATGAGGTGATACACTACATCCCTGCCCCCAGCCTCCCCTACAGCCAGCCTGGCTCCTGCTACACTTTGGTCCGGCTGCCAGAGGACGACCCAACAGCTGGTAGGAAGTCTGGAGCATGGATAGTTTGATTTAATACGACGATCAAAGAGTTTACAAGAAGTTTTATTTTCTCTTTGCAGTGTCGTGTACATTCAGCTGTACCATGAAGTACCTCGTGAGAGACTGCGACCCCAACACAGGAGAGCCAGATGATGACGGTTATGATGATGAATATGTGGTACGCTATAATGGCTCATCTGCAAAATTTAGTCCCACAAATCATTGGGGAGTGTTTAACTAGTTTTATGCTCTTCACTGCTGTGCTTCAGCTGGAGGACCTGGAGGTGACGGTTGCGGACCACATTCAGAAAGTTTTGAAACCAAACTTTGGCGCGGCGTGGGAAGAAGTGGGAGATGAGTTTGAGAAGGAGGAGACATTCGCCCTGGCATCTGTGCGAACACTTGATGGTACGCATAAAAAAACGGATCATTTTGGCCTGAATCACAGATTTACCAACTGGAATTCCAAATGTTAAATAGATGCAAGTTTAACTCGCAGCACTGTTTTCTGCACCCACCAGTAGCTTGTATATTGATGCAACGTTTCTTCTCATACAGAGGCGGTGGGTAACATTATCAGCTTCCTGGGAATGCAGCCATGTGAACGCTCGGACAAAGTTCCAGAAAACAAGAACTCTCATGTCCTCTTCCTTGCTGGTGAGTTTAAGATCAGATCGTTTTGAATAGTTGATGTTCCACATCAAGTCAAGTAGAAGTGAAGTTGTTTTGGATTAGCCAGCAGATTACTGACAGTCTCTCCTACTGTGCTCAGGTGTGTTTCGAGGAGGTCACGATGTTCTGGTGCGCGCCCGCCTGGCGCTGGCTGATGGCGTCACCATGCAGGTGACGGTTCGCAGCAGTGACGAGAGTGTTGTTGATGTAATCCTGGCCTCTGTGGGCTAAAACTGTAAATATGTGTGCAACGCAACATCACTTAAGTAAGCGTATATTCATGTTGACCAATTCTAATTGTTTCCAGTCTTGAGTTTATAAACTAAAACCTGTTTTCTTGCTGCTTTCTTTGAAAAAAAACAAAACAAAACAAAATACTCTGCAATAAAGTCTTTCAAAGAGCATCTCTGTTAAATAATTTCAAAGGAATTTTTTTTCTTACAAAACTAACTTTATTTCAAGACAAGTTGATGTTTCTTTTTTTTTTTTCTTTTTTTTTTGAGGGGGGTAACTGACAACAGAAATGTAGAAAATTAAATGAAGTATCATCCGGCTCAAGAAATACATTCAACTGCTGAAAAACATTATTGTAGTTTATGATCTCAGGGTTTAATTCAGTCTTCTCCAACTCTTCCACTGCAGGCTTAACTTTGAAAAAAGATACTTGTTGTTCTTTCAGAAAGAATGAATGAAGTTGTAATAGGCTTTTAAGAAACCTGTGGGATCCTCCAGCTGAGGGTAGTGACTGATGTGGTCGTCCAGAACTGTGACAGTGGACCTCTTCACCAAATGCCTGCAAAAAAAACACAAACACTGACTTTAGGAACTTTTAAAAACCTTTTTTCAGGTCACTTTCAAATTAATGGTTTGTCTTTTTTTAATTCTCTGATTTAATAAGGAATATTTCAGTTTCATAACAACTAGCTTCTCACCCGATTTTAATTGTAAGTTTTCACAAAGAAGTCCAGTTGTAAGAAGGAAAAGCAAATGAACTAAATTGCTCGTTTTAAAGAACAAATCAAAGTAAAAAACTTCTTACTGAGCAGAGACTGCTGCTTGTATCAGGATGAGGTTTAAGAATTAGGGGAGGAGCCACTTACAGGTAATGACGGATGAACTGGGGATGGGGGTTGACGGGGTCCATGGGCCCGTAGATCATGTGCACTGGAACAGAGGGGGAGGATGAAGGAGGAACTGAGTAGTTGCTACCCCCCACCTCGTAAGGACCACAGATGGACAACATGGCTGCTCTTCACAGACTAAGCAGCTTACCATTTTAAATACACCTCCAGGAGTCTTTGATTTATTACTCTGAAACAGGAACTTACGTGGGACGAATGTGGAAGTGAGCGCCCCCACCCACCGGTCTCTGTGTTTTAACCTCTGGTTGATGTACTGGAGAATGCTGGCAAGACAACATAAAGAGAGTAAGCTGACAGGAAAACGTGTAAGAAGTCTGAACAGACTGCGCTCACCTGTCCACCACCAAGTTGCCGTCATTGTAGCGTAAAACTGTCCACATGTCCCAGAACTCAGCGTCTGTGGGCTGTGTGTAGGGACCAAACACTTCTTTTATCCTACCCAACGGAAAACCAACAAATCAACAAAACAGAACATATTTGATTTCTAAACCGTGGCACAAACTCAGATCTTACCCCTTTTGGAAAATAAAGAAGTTGGTGAGGCGCGTTAGAACTGATGACAGAATGCTGGAGTCCTTCAGGAGCTTTTGAAGACAAAACATATCACAACCAACACATCAATATGTCTTTTTTTTAAAGAACTACCTCAGAAAACACTAAGCACAACTTTGTTTTCCTTCATTCCGTATGCTCATGCCTGGTTAATTTTACTAATACTTTACTAAATGTGTTGAGTTCGTGTAAGCACATGTAAGTTATGACTAACAAGAAGCACTTGACAAGTGCATAGCTCCACCAAAACCCTCAGCTACGCAAAGAGTGAAGCTCCTGTAATGTGACTGGTGGAACAAAGTTCTTCTAGATGCTGATGGTTTGTCACATATTGTTTAAAAAAAAAAAGCCTCTGGCTCTTTTTCTGTTTTAGTTTTAGTTTGTGCCAGATCATCACCAAAATTTAACTAATTGCTCATGTGAGTATGTAGCAGTAGTATGTTGTGGAATAAGTCCAAAAATGATAACAGATTTGAAAATATTAGCAGCTTTTCTCCTCCAGTCCAGCAGGGGGAGTTTCTGTACCTGTAAATACTCAAATCAACAAAGAACAGAGCTCCACCATTTTTCCACCTGGTGACACAGGTAAGTTTGACTCTAAACATACAAAATAAAACTACGGGATTGTATCATGTAGAGCAGCTCTATAGTTAAAGCTCTTATTGTTCATGTTGCTTAAGCCAGTTTACCCAGTTAGCTTGCTTTAACTAATGCTTGGTAAGGTTAATTGGGAGCTATGTAGTGATTAACTTGAGGTAAAATGATACAATGCTACCAAACAAATTGTTTATCAAATAAGGGAGGACAAAGTTTGAAGGCCTATTTTTAAAATTTATTTATTATTATTATTTTTTAAATCTTCCAGGTTGAAGATGATTTTGGGACAGAACCAGACGGTCGTGATTTGGAGGTTCTGCACTCTGAGACAAACCAGCAGGTGTTTGTGGATGATCTTGAAGTTCAACCTGACCAGGATTTTGTTACTGGGAGGTTTAACTGATGTGTTGCACTAAAGACTTGTTTCACTTTTAGGTTTTTCAGTCTTATAAAGCCTTTATGGGTTTTGATAAATCCAGGTTGAAATCCAAGGTTTAAGAGCTGAACCTTAAAGGGCTAGTTCAGATATTCTGAGGTGGCTTTTTGAACAAGCTCAGTTTGTACAAACATTCAAATAAACTGGTCAGAACTGGAAGTGAGTCTGATCAGGACCAGACCAAAGTGTAGATATGTGACAATCCTTGATCTCAGGGAAAGGTGAGTTGACGCTTTGAGATTCCAGCGATCAAAAATCACACTGAGCCTATAGTAGTATTCATTAAAAGGTAAAAGATATATTGGTGTAAACTTAAAAGCATTGGGCCTCATGCAAGAACCGTTCGTACGCACAGATTTGTTCTTAAGTTGTGCGTACGAGTCATTTAGGAGAATTTGTGGCATTCACCAATGTTTTC